TCCTCTGACATTACAGTGAACTTGACAAGAGGGGGTGGCAGCCATTTTTTGCTCTCCAGCCAATGCCAGGAACTAACAGAAACTAGCAGGGGTGTTTCACCTCACAGTGGAGCGCTGACAGGCCTGAATCAGCACATGGGAAGCCGTGATAAAGTGCGTTCCTTCCTAATTTTCTCTTTCATTCTTTCCTTTTCTTCTCACCAGTTCCTTCCTTTATTCTCTCATCTTTCCCCTCACTTAACCTCTGGCTGGACAAACATAAATCGACCCAAGAGCACAGAGATGTTCAATTATTGGTAATTTTCTGTGTCGATTTTCTTCTTTGGTGGTATGGATGACAAATTGCAGAGCGCAGAAACATACTGAACAGAGATGCTTCCAGAGAGAACTTGCTGGCAGAATTATACAGGAAAATATCATATCAAACTGTAAGAGTATGTAGTCTCTCCCTGGCCTCACTTCACCAGAATGTAATGCAGCTGTAAGACGTGTTTTGATTAAGTGTATTGGCATAAAACTCAGATCTGAATGGTTCAAACAAATGTTCCTGGGATTCACTATCACTACCGGCAGTAAAAGCAGACAAGACAAAGTACTTAATCGCAACAAAAACATATTCTGGAAAGTGCAAATATAGTGTTTGAAGGTTGTATTTTCTTTTAGCAGCAGTATATAAAAAAAATTTTTTTTTAAAATTCCACACAAACTGCAGCCCAATGTTCAGTTTTCATGAGCTTCCCGGGGCACCTAACCAGAAACCCTCCGATGCAGGGCGCTCTTAAAAATGCTCCATAATGCAAATTATGAAAAATGGGGCTTATGAAAGTAATAAACGCGGACACATTACGGAGAAACATTCTTGAGTTACACAAGACCTCAAGCCCCGATGCATCCAGCGTACTGTAATTTTGGTTCACAGCAGACGTGTAGACTCATATATTTGTCCATCGGCAGCAACACAAAATTACAGGTCTCCCGTTTCCCCATCTATGACTCTGTGACTGTTTGGACTATTTTATGGCGTAGGCTTTTAATGAGGGGCTGAGAACTGTTGTCCTCTGAAATATTATTTTTCTCATGAGTCAGCACGGGTTCTCGTCACTCCCAATTTTTTTGGACTCCAGAATCAATGGTTGCAATTGAAAAGTCCACAGTTATTCCTGTAGCCCACAGCTGAGGAGTGTTTTCAATGAATTGAAAATCACATATTTCACATTTCCTTTAGTAAATAACTATAGTTAGTAGCCTTTTACATATGAATATGACATCCCCATTGTCTGGATAATGAATAACATAGGGCTTGGACCTTATTCACTAACCAGAGAGCAAACTACCATTTTTTACACAGCTCATTGAATTCCTGGGAGAACTTTTTCAAGGTTTTAATAATACATTATATATATAATTATAATAATATATCATTATTATAGTGTTTATTTCTAATTATTTATGTTACCATTTAAACTTCTGTAGGTTTCTTGTTGGTTAATTTGCAGTGGCCAAAACTGTGACCTCTTTTTTCCCCCCATTATTGAATTAAGGCTTTTGTAGATGGCTGTGTTCTGTTTGTCTGCTCAGTCATAGTGACTGTTGCTGTTTATTAACACATAACTTCCTGTTCAGGATTTTTCCTGCGAAAACACTACTGCACACCAAGAGTTGTGAATGCAATGCTTTAATCACCTGGCTTCTGGTTGAAAAAGGATTGCGTTGGAAAAACATGGGTATGAGGCTTCACCCATACGCAGCTTTGATCTGACGTGAGGAATGTGTTAAAAAAAAAGAAAAAAAAAAGAAAAGAAAAGTCAGCGTCCCGTCATCTCCTTCGCCCAGCAGGAATACGTTAAGATTATTTCAAAACTCGTGGTGTCTTACGTGTCTCCTATTTGAGGGAGAGAAACTGGACTCTGAGCTCCACTGTGTTGTCGGTGTAATTGAATTTCCAGCAATGCACAAAGCAGAGAACGCTGGCTGTAAAAACGGCATTCTGGGCAGAGAAGGGTATTTCTCACTTGGTCTCTCTGATTCACCGCTCCTCTACTTGGCTTCAGTCTCCCTCCCTCTCTCTTTCTCTCTCTCTCTCTCTGTCGTAGTGTCTCTTTCTCCCTCTCCGCCGCTGCTCTTTTTTCCTCTCTTTCTCCTATTTCCCACCATCTTTCAGCCCCTCCCTTCTCTTTCAACACTTCCCCTTGTCTGCCGTCTCGTCTTTTTGTGACTGCGTAACCCAAAACTTTCGGATCCATTTTTAAAACGGTCTTATTCCTCCGCCTGAACCCCTCTTGCTCTGTCTTCCCTCTCATTCACCACCGGTTCATTTCAGCTCTGGGCGCTGGAGCCAGAGGTGCATGCCGACATATCTCTCAGACATGACTTACCCTCCTCCTGTCCCAACAGCAGGGCAGCTCACACTGTAATTATTCATCCAATATACTGAGGGAAGGTCACATACCAGCAGCCAGCCTCGCTCTGCCTGTGTTGATATATGACCCTGTGCACAACTGCTATCTTGTCAGTTTAAATGGGAAATTAAGGAGGATTGATGAACAGCATGACTTGGTCTGGCGGTTCACTTGTGGTTCTAATTCAGAGGAATGATCTTTAGCTATTTATGAGACCTGAATGGGTGTCAAATATCAATGTTCACATCACTGAGAAGTCAGTTGTAGCTTTTCTTTACATTTCATCCACCTGCATTTTAACCTGATCGCATTTCGCCTCTGATGAGATTGAGAAAAGGTCACTGGGTTTGAATAGATTTTCTCTATTGACAAAAAATATTTCTCAAACTCACAGAGTCACTATGTCACTCACCATAAACAAGATAATTTCTTTCAACCTCACCCATTACAAAGTCTTGCTGACAAGCGTATCTCAAACCCACATCAGTTCAGAATTATGGTCGAGATCCCAGTGTTTCCAAAACACTAAACACATCCTCATGAAACAACATGGAAAATGTGTGAAAAATGATGCACAAGAAACCTTTTAATTGACCATAAAAAAAATCTTAGGTTTTCATATGTCAATCAATATAAATGTGATGTGCAAGCAGATGTAGGGCAAAATGTCAGCCGCACAGCATATCCATAACCTTGTAAGTGCTCCTGCTTTTGTAAAACTACTTCTTACATTCTCGCTTGTGTTAAATAACTCAAATTTGAATTTGGGAACGTTCGGGTGCAGGTGGTTGAGTGTGGGAGTTTTTTCTTGTGCTGCTGCAGCTGTAGAGGAGCTCCCCTGGTCTTTGCGCTGAATACTACTTTATGTATCCTTAAATAAATTTACTATCCCTATGTGGACAAGCCACTGAATGCTCAGCCACTCAGCTTGATATATGAATGGATGGGTTCTACTACAAGCTGTGGCGGAGGGGGTGGGGGTGTGTGGGGGTGTGTGTGTGTGTGTGTATGTGTGTGTGTGGTGGTGGTGGGGGGGCTGCTGCATGCTACAGTGCAAAACTATAAAAACACAAATACAGTACAGAGGAAGAGAAAAAAAAAGGAAGAAGTTCTTCTTCTCTGTCTGAATTAGGGAGCGCCTGCATGTGTGAATCTCTGTTTGTCTGACGGGTCCGGTTACTCCGGGGGTTATTCTTATTTCCACTGCATCTGCAGGTCAACTTCATGCTCCAAACCATTACGGGAGAGAGAGAGAGGGAAAGAGAGAGAGAGAGAGACTGTGTTGTCTGTTGCCCTAAAAGGAGAGAGCTGCAGCACCAGTTGGCAGTTGTCACTTCACTGAAACCACAGTGTTCTTCATCTGAGAAGATGGGGTTCAGAAGTTGCCAGATTCGCTCTGCACTTTCCAGTGCTCTGGCAACCCAAAGTAACCATCTAATAGAAATGTGGGAAGCGACTGACATTTCAGTTCAGTTTCAGTTTTTCCTTGGTTACCCCCCCCCCCCCCCCCCCCCCCCCTTCTCTCTCTCCATGTTGTTAACTGTTTAGACAGATGATTTCCATTCTGCTACCCTGACAGAAACATGTTGCTTCTGTCTTCCACTTAAGGTCAAATCATCCATCCTCCCATACTCCCTCTGAAAAAGATGCACCAGTCTGAATAGTGGAAGATAATAAGATCATTTTCCACTTCATGAAGTGGCAAAATGGAACAATATCGACCTTTCAAGTCCATTTGAAAAGGTCACTGTCTGACTCACTGTATGTACAAGCCTCATGGACTTTGACGGCGCTCTATAGGAACAACGATCATTTAAGCTGCTGTAAAGCTGTCATCTGTCCCTGTGACTCGAATGCGCCAAGGCGAGCAGACGCACCAGAAATAGAAACAATATGTGTTCCTGGACGAGAGGCAGTAAATGACCTGAGTCGTAAAAAATCAGTCAGGTTTTTCAACTCAATTCACTTAATGAGCTTCAGAGCAAAAACCATAAGCAGCCGCTGCTGAGGGTCAAAGCAGTGACGACTGATTAGCGAGTGACTTATGTTCGAACATTTCCTTATATCCGACATCATAATTCCCATCAGTCATCCCGTATGGAAAAATCAAATCTTGCACGAGCCTCTAGCCTCAGGCAGGAATGAGGAGCGGGCTACTGACGTCTGGGAAGCTCGGTTTTTATTAACTCCACACCCGCAGACTTTTTTCATTTTCAGAGCTGTACTCTTTTAGACCCAACCACCTGACATCACTTGAGGCAGTTTATCAGACTTCACACAGCTCCGTACAACTGTTTTCACATGTGCAACGTGTACTCCCCCAGACCTGTACACAGACTTTGATGTGTGAAATCAGTTGGGGCTCCCCCTTTAAGGCAACTGGAACTACTTGGTTGAAAGTTAGGTTAAGAGCTTGATCATAATTTTAAGAAAACCAACACTGACTGTCCTGATCTCCTCCATTAGTGGGTTTGTGGTGTTGCAGCCACATCATGCACAGCCACAGCTCCCAAATCAGGAAAAATATAAACACACTCTTAGTCAGTTGACCAAATGGTCCTCTGTTGTTTTTCTGGTAAGAACAGTGTCATGTTTTCATACCTGCTGATGTTGAGTTTGAGCTGCTGAGTGCAGGTTTTGATCCTGTTCTGAGCCTCCATGTGCGTCATGTGCTCTGTGCTGTCGCCGTTGATGGCCAGGATGGTGTCGCCCGGACACAGGTCACCTTGGGCCGCCTTGCTGCCTGGTGTTACCTGGAGATAACATTCACACACACACACACACACGTACACACACACACACACACATACACCGATCCAAGCACACCCAAGAAAAGAAAAGAAAGAGCTGTTACAAGTGGTGTCAATGTGTCAGTGAGAGAGAAAGACAAAAAAGAACGAAAGAAAGAGAGTATTAGTGCGGGAGTGTCAACACGGAGGCCAAATTCAACAAAAGCAGCTCTCTTTTGATTTATGTAAGATTGCCTTGGGCAGCACTCTGGGTTTACATTTTCAAAAAGCCAGCAACAATGACACCGGGAAGTGAGAGGCCACTTAAGAGTGTTGAAGGTGGTGAAATATTTGGAAAGAACTGGAACATTTTTATACGTTTGGCCTTTTCGAATTCAGTGAAAAAAACAAAAAAAAACAAACTGCTCTGCAATTGCATCAGACTAAACCCCCGGTGAATGATCTCAAGTCCAGGAGTAAGTTCCATTAACAGAGTTTGCATATGAACCTTGAACCTTAATCTCTGTGTAATGTTAAGATTCATTTGGAAGCATCTGCTCCATATATCCTTTGAGCTTTGCCTGGTTCTGTGACGTGGCCCGTTTTGATCCTGCGAAGCGTAGGCGCACATCGCTTTAATTTCGAAGATTATCTCGCAGCCGCTGGACAGTGAGCAGGTTCCTCTCTGTGATCCTTCAGTCCACAAACATGCTGGTCTGTGGACATTCGAGCCCCACAGGGAGGCAGAGGGGGAGGGCGGGTGTCCCAGTGGGTATGTTTCACCTTCGCAGGACACACTAAGTAACATATGATAACAATTTTCCATTATTGCAACACTCGCGCGCGCGCGCACACACACACACACACACACACACACACACACACACACACACACACACACACACACACACACACACACACACACACACCCCACACACACACACACACACACACACACACACACACAAACGTCCCTGTTATTTCCAGGCCTGCGTCTGACTGGTTCGTATGGTTTTGGCAAAGAGAAATGAGCAGAAACTACCAATCAAATGCTCCCATCATCAAACCAAGACATCCACAGTAAAAACAGTCACTGTCATATGGCAGCAAGCTGCTGAGGAAAATACTCTCTTCACCAGCACTGAAACAAAAATGTAATGAAATGTGAACAATTGCCATCATGTCTCCGGTCATCTTTGTTGCGCTCCATGTGCTGTCAAGGTACGACATGTATGACTATTACTTTGACTGTATTTTTCCAACCATTAAATGTGAGGAGATTTGTTGCAGCTGGATTCAATTGTGATTGTCACACAGTTTTTAGAAGGAATTGAAATCATTAATCTGTGACAGATTCTCTGTGGCAGCTTGAAGAAGCGTAACGGGGATTGAACCAATATTCATTTATACACATTTTAATTTTGTACAAACAGAGGAAGAACTTTATTAGCAACTATGGCTAAAGACTATTTTCATTATGTCATTATTATTTTCTTGATTAACTAATTAGCCAAAAAAAAAAAAAAAACATCCATTACAATTCGCAAGAGTCACTTGTTTTTTTTTAACCAATTGATGATTAAACAAACAGATCATTGTTATTGACTAATTGGTTGATCTATTAGCGAACAGCTACAGCGAACATGTCACCATGTAAAAGTTGAAGCAGTGAGGAATTCACACTCCAACACTTTGTCATGTCTGAGAGCTTAAAGACTAAAAATTACTAGACTATCTGTAAATCTGTAAAAACACAGGGAACAGAAGATTTCGGATCACTTTCCTGTTAATGAAGCCCTTGTATGTCAAGTGTTGGTGATTAATCTTTGTCCCGTCACCCAAGTTTTTAAGTGGGTACCTCTCTTTGAGCTCATTCATCTCCACACCAGAGCGCCCACCGCCTGACCCCACGACGTCTCGTAATGCCTATTACCCTGACAGCTGCACATTAAGATGTATTGTGTTTGGAACGGCGAAAACCTCGCGTCAAAATAACACTTACCTCACTAACACATATTAATAATCTAATCCAAGACAAATTAAGACTACGATTGGCTGAAAAAGTTGATGCACCGTGGAATAATGAACACGAGAAAGAGAGAGAGAGAGAGAGAGAGAGAGAGAGAGAGAGAGAGAGAGAGAAAGGAGAAAGAGAGGAGCTGCCAGTGCAAGAGCAACAGACTCGCTAACTGGGGGAAGAGCGGTTTAAGAGCAAAGGCACACAAGTTCATGCTCCATGAAGCACTAATAGCTAAGTCGTGTGGTTCAGATGTGGAATTTGTAATTTACAGCTTCTGACTGCCCCAGTGTCCCTGACTCAGTTCCGGTAAGCTCAGGGGTCAGCAGCATTGTGGGAAATGTGTGTAAATTTTTGTGTGTGTCAGGGAAAGAGAAAGCCATGTGAACACATTTCTGTCATCAGCTGTTTCTGCAGAAATTTGACACAAATTACACTTACATAATCTAAGGGGTGAAGGGGGAAAGATTGAAACGTTTAAAAGGGGAAAGAGCAAGAATCTGTTGATAGACACTTACTGGAGGTTGTAGTTTACCCACATCATTTAGCACAACCTCCCTGGTGAGAATGCATTTTAAATGTTTGTGTGTCTATGTGTGTGAGTGTGTGTGTGTGTGTGTGTGTGTGTGTGTGTGTGTGTGTGTGTGCTGTTGTGGTTGTACGTCTTGGATTATTGCCTGGGCTGTGTCACAGTGGAGTGCACCCCAGTGCACACACAGAGTGAGTAACATCACTTCAGGGTCAGGCCCTTGAATAGCAGTGCATGAATCACACACACACACACATACATACACACACACACAGCGGTATGCCAAGTGACACAATGGCATGACTGAGGTCGTCACCAGAGGACAAACATTCCCAAAACGTAAGGAGGGTGTAGAGTGAAGTGGTTCAGACATATCATCACGATCTGCTGTATCTACACTGCGGATGTAGTGATGTAATGACTTCAAACTATAGAGCTTTAAAGATGAATGTCATTTTCTAATTACTATGCCTCGAGCCCCATACCAGCATTTTGTTTTTTTTTTTTGTTTTTTAACCGTAACTTTTCTTACTATAACTTTTCTGTTTTTGTCTTCTTGCTCACATGAAACCACTCTTAACAAAAGCTAAGAGATCAACTTCCGCTTCATAAGAATAAACTGATCTAACTCAAAAATGAGAAGTGACCATGGTCTGAAAGCTGACCGAGTGTGTGACCGCAGCGCACAAAGAGTGATCTTGGCTCGGGCCGAGGATGGAACCAGAGTTGTTGTGAACAATATAAAGTTGGTTTCTAGGCCGCTGTGGAGGACAGAAAGAGACAATAAATTGAATAAAATTACCCAGCTTTGCTAAAAGTAGAAACTTGGTATCATATGGTATGACTTCAATCCCATTTTCACCCAGTAAACCTACTTTCAGCTCCAGATTTTCATGCAACTGCACCAAAAGGGATTTTGTTTTTCCTTCATCTTTACTCACAAAATGACTTGAAATCATATAAATTTGTGACATAGATGATATCATATAACTATTTCTGCTCATATAATCAGATTTTCTGTCATTTGTTTTACACAAACTGCTCTCGCTGCTAACAGAAGGACTTGATGTACTCGGAACAACCTGTTAAGACCTCAGGCGATGACTCTGACGTCATACACGTCATCCGACATATACAGGTGGCGCCGATTGCGCAAGCAGCCATCGTGGATGCGAGGCAACGTTGATCGTGGAGAGAGCAACTTCACCGGTTGTTGGGCAATCTAAAACGGTCCCATCACAAACACAGTGACATAGTTAATTGCTAACAGATAGAGTGGTTTAGCATAATGGCAGCCTCATGTCACGCAGAGTCATCATGTGGCACGCTGAGGCCCGATGAGTAGTGTGGTTTCGCGTGTTTTTCTCCGTGTGTTTGAGAGCGAGGCCGAGAGAGAGGACACAGGTTCTACTGCGTCTCATAACAACAAAAAAAAAAAGAAGCTGCATCCACACTTTGAGTCGAATGTGACATCAGCCTCAGGGCAAAGTATTCTGTCATGTCATCATTGCTTATGTCTGTGTGTACTGTCTTTCTATTTTATCTGGAGCAAGCCATAAAATTGAAAGTGCTTTTCTTGGCTCCCTTATAAGTTGACCTTTAGAGGATTTTTTTTATACAACTGTGGTGTGTAAAGCACATGTATGATCCAGGATGAGGATGTTATACTGTCTTTTTAGTCGCATAGATGTTCCTGTGAGGAAAGTTTTGATTCGTGCAGAGATTTCTTATCAGCAGGAGTCATTTTCCTGCCTCTCTCCTCTGGATATGGACAGAAAAACATACAGCCTTCTCCATAAGTAGTGTATACTGCATAATTTGTAGTAGCGGTGAAAAGACATGTCAACATCCAGATTAAAACTGGTCTTAATTTGACTGAAAATTGAAGGTTTTTCAGCTTCTCAGAGACAATATCATAATCTACAGAAACAACCTGGTCATCTGAATACCCCTTGACCTGCAACCTGTCACTTTTAACTGTTGTTTTTCATGCGTGAACTCGACAGAGGCGCTCTCTTCTGGGTGGGAGTGCTGAGTCGCACGTCTCAGCAGCACAGAGAATAATTCCTGGCAACGTGTCAGACGCCTTTGTTTGCTTGTTGGACCTGCGATAGGAACCATGGTTATGACCTTGGTGACGCTTTGGAGAGACGTTACATAGTCAGGGGTGTGAGGTTCTGACCGGTTTGTGATTATCACACTCAAACAAAAGGCATTGAATCTGCCAAGAGCAATAAGCAAGACTGGGGATTATGATTTAATATGTGAGGTTAGACTTTAATGAGAACACAAGGAAATGGGAGAGTCACTGCAACTTAATTGCAGTCTGTAATGCATTTGTGTGAGTGTGTCTACGATGACCACATACTATTCATCAATACTACTCATCAATAAGTAAGTAGAAATCCCTGCAAATCTGATTCACAGTGAGATTAGTAATCACTGACGGGTTTTTGCACATCAGCTTTTCCACATTTCTTCCTCAGCACGTGATGTTTCAACATGTTCATGAATCAAGAGTCATGTTTTAGATACTCGGCGATCCTTGGAGCGAAACACATCGAAACAAAAACATGTTTGCGGTGATGCATGCGGGCTAAGACAATGAAAAGACGAGAAGTTAGAGGGGAAAGCACATGACTCAAAGCTCACTTGATGACACGAGAGAAGATCTACGGCTAAGTGTGAGAATTTGGCTTTTTTTGTCAGAGGCGGAAGCTGGTTCATTGCTAAACTTTTAATCTGAATTTTTGGTGTTAAAAAGACCAGAAATCTGCTTCATGTACACAGCCTCATGTTAACACCAATTACAGAGAGTCACTTTCATACACCAGATAACCAGATGAGCAGGAAACGCTCAGCAACAACCCAAGGACTCGCATCACCCCTCCCACCCCCTTTGCTGTACTGTTTCAGGATCTCCGCCGCTTCGCTGACAACAGGAAACTCTTGGAGTGTATACCATCTGTTATCTTTTGCTCAGTTTGTTGTGGAGATGCAGCTCGCTGCATCTATAATTGTAGCCTGGAGAAAAAGAGCAGCCCAACACTAGTCAATGACAACCAGCAATGTCAGAGAAACAACCCATGTGGCTTTAGGTCACATGTTCTGTCTTTGGTATGTGTTGCAGAGAGCTTGACAGATGAGAGATTCAAGGGCACACAGTTCATTTGATGTATAACTGCTGATGCAATCCAAGTTATATTTGATCTTAATCCATGCACTGTAAATCAAACACCCTTGTATAATCAGCATAAGAAACATGGAGTGATATGTCTTGATACGGCTTAAGCCTTTTCTCTTCACTCTATAAAATTCCTGTAATTCCATAACCGGGACAAAAAAAGCTCTTTGCAAAGCATTTCTTTGCAGCCAGTATGGACAGGAGCAATTATTACAGCGACCAGTAACCCCTCAAATGTACATATGGGCATGTCGGTGTTGTTTTAAGATAGACTTGAAAGAATGTGAAGCTATCCTTTAAATGCATGACAAACATTTGAGCACAGAGACAGTTTACACCACTCCGATAATGTATCTGTCTGCCTGAAGTTGGACTTTGATTCCATTCAGATAATACATGAAAGAAGAAGACTTCCAGTTCTGCTGGGTCGATTATGACTTTCACAGTGGGTGGTGACGAAACATTTCCCCATTCCAGATTTTACACCACTTTTCTCTAATATTTTGCACATGAAGTAATCAATCAAATAATAAAAAAACATCAACAAACAGACTACAGGCGCACTATGAACCATCCAGGATGTACAACATAAAGTTCTCAGACGGGAATTCGGGACAGTGAATCGGGTCATTATTTAACCAACACTCGGATGTAAATTCCTATCCAGAGGACGATTGTTTGCCCGTTGGCAGGACTGACAAGTGTCCTGCGTCACCTTCTGCCTGGACACTGGTTTACAAAAAGTGCTTTTACCACAGCTGCCATATTCAACGTATCCTCTCTAAATGCTTCTGCAGTTACACGAGTGATTTTATATGTTTCGGTTTCTCTGACACTCATTCTCTCTCATGCACTCACAGCCATTTAACAACCTACCACTGCGCACACACACACACACACACACAATCAGGGCAAATGTTTCCAGAATCAAGTAGACACGCCGTCAACTGGCAGCGGTCCTAATGGGCTGGCAGGGGACTAATGGGCTCATCCTGGGACGTTATCACCTTGAGCAAAGAACCAGCTGCTGCCATCAAAACTTGTTTTCTGGTATTTACAACTTTCACTGCCCCCAAACGCAGGTGTTTCATGACATTCACTTTTACAAATGCAGAAAGACACGGAAGAATAAGGGAGGAGATCCATGAATCATGCAAAGTAGAGGTTTGATTGGAATGATTGTGTAAAATATTGTAAAAAAAAAACAAAAACAAAAAAAAACAAACTTAAAAGCAACAAAGCTTTTAGGTCCTGTCTCATTTCTTCTATTGATCAGCTTTCCAGAGAAAACAGACACTGTTACACCCTTCAGCCTGTTCTGGCTTGTGCTAAGCTTACATGATATTAAAATGCCCCCCAAAGAGGCATTTTGGATCCTGCAAGACATAAAGTATCCGTCTCTGCAACACAAACACACTCCCCATCTCCCTCCATGCATATCCTTCTGTGTCACCATTCAACACACTGTAATTGCCGTCTTGGACACGCACTGCAGAGCAAGAATGCAAAATGCATATGATGAATAGCGAGTTTCATAGATGCTGAGCAGCCATGAATCACACCGTGCTTCAAACTCAGAATGCAACCAGCTCCCATGAGATGAGGCGAGTGGATTCCTTTCCCATCACTTCTATTTTTTTATTTTTTTATTTTTTATCACTTCTCCTTGAGTTCAATTTCGACTTTTTGAACTCACATAAACCAGAATATGAGAGACCAGGACAAAACAATTATCGAGTTCTGCCAATAAAACACATTTTGTGCTGTCAGCTGATGTTTCAGCGCATGTGACGTCAATTGGACACTGAACTGCTCTGTAATGCCTGGTAGAAAGCAACAAAAAAAAGTCTGCAAGAGGCAGTGTAATCCTGGGACTTGCTGCCAAAAGACTGTGCGTATTTATGCCTCTGACATTACACATTTATCTAAATATGCTTGCATCTCAACAGCTGCTTCCTTCTCTAGTTCTCAAGCCAAGATTTTGGAATTAGTCAAAACTCCCTTATTTATTCTTGCAAACAGGTGGTTTTTATTGCCACCTCTGCTATGTAACAAAGTGAAACCTGTAATTAATTTCAACGATGCCAGCATCACCGAGTTACACAATGTTCACGATGCGAAATGACTTCCCCGTGCATGCCGCGGTTTTCATATTGGCAGTCAAGCAAGTATGCACAGATCAAAACCGATGGGAAATTGTGAGACTGACACCGCGACTTGCCAGCTGTACAAGAAGTTAGGATGAATCAGAAAACCTGAGATGCCCTGAAGCTGCCTTTGACTTTAAAGTAAGCATTAAACACGAGTGCCATGAGGCCGTAGTGTAGATTTCCTCCTTTTTTTTTTCCAAATGAGTTCTAGTATTGGGCACAATCTCTGTTGGAAACTTTGCTCCATGCACATAGATACCAAGATACTTAGTGAAACATGAAGGTCAAGCATACAGTCAGTGAGCCATCCAGAAAACTGGCTTTGACAATATAATCTGAGCCCCAACCAAAACAAGACATTTAGCTACAAGCAGTGAGGGGTGTATTAATGCCATGTGTGATTTCTGGATTTTTTTCCTCAGTAAAATATTCATCTACCTGTCACTGTCATTTGGAGAAGTGAAAGTGCCAAGTTAGAAAGTGTGACACACTGTGAGTCAAAGCATACCTCACCATTGCATCACAGCATTTTTTTCTTTTTTTTTTTCTTCGAGATATAGTAAGGTATAGGTTTAAAATCAGAGAGCACTTCAGGTGACCTTCAGGGGTTCGTCTGCTCCTCTCAGAGTCGTCAATCGGCCGCCGTAAATCTAAAAATTACACCTCTAGTTTGAAATGCTAGGGCCCTGTAGTTAAAGGGTCGGTTTGGGGCTGGTGGTGATACAGCTGAGCACAACACCTGGAATCCCTCAGCAGCACCAATGAGCTCTGATGAAAAACAAATGTCAGCACCCCCGCCCACCACAACCCAACCCCCCACCCCCATTCTGTGAAGCCCTGCAGCAGGACCGGGCTGTGTTTACCCTGGCTGGGATAAACTATAGGCTACTGCCAGATCCACTGCCAGCACACTGACTCCTGACCCATATTCTGAGGGTCAGGGAAGTTCACGAAGGTTTGAGAATAGGTCTACTACCACTACTTCAACTACTACTACCAACAGCAATATTAACAATGATTAAAGAACACAGGCAATAACACATTACTATATAACACAATAATACTAATACTGCAATTTCCAAATAGATTCTAGATAACAGCTTACAAAGATCTATATGAGCTTGACTGAAACCACTTACGTTTTTTACGTGGTAAAAAGTCAGAAAAAAAAGTTGGAATTATATTATTATTGATTTTTTTTATCAATTATTAATTTCAAAATCAAGGATCATTTCCTTGACATGCACCATATGACATGTTTGATGGATACTTATATTGATGTTATTTTATTCAAATTGTTAAAAACTTTTCTTTCTTTCTTTTTTTTTTTAAATCACCATCATGTGTTTTTCTCGTTTCTACTGACAAGATGATATTCAAAGCCTTTACCTGATGGTCGGCCAATTGCAATGACTCACTAAATTGCAGTGGCAACTTTGGCTGCCAGGAATTAGACGGCACCATCTGTCAGCTTTTAGAGTAAAGCTCCTGTTGATACACTTATAATTACTGCTGCTAGGGATAATGGACCTCGGCGACCTCTTATTTGACGATTAATTAATTGGGCTGCAACTCCAGGTTGACTCATCTCCACCTTTCCAAATCATTAGGCCTGTAAACGGTGAAGTCATTTAAATGGCTGTAATGAGATTGATTATCACGTATGTAGAAATAAGAAAATCTTAACTTTACTGCCAAATTGAGGTGCTGGTGAGCCCCGGCGCGTGGGTACTTTGCGTACGGCTCAATGAATGGATACACATCGAAACAACAAGACAGCAAAGTTAGGCTACAACCTACCCTGGAGATGGTTAACGGCGTGCTGAAATCCCGTCCTCCCACCAGCCGAAAACCCCAAGGAGAGGGTCCCTTTAGTGTCACGGTCTGGGTCATGTTTGTCGTAGAGACGGCGAGAGGGAGACAGACAGATGACAAGGCTGACTGAGAAGGCAAATGTCCGCGGTTCCTTGATACACCAGTAAAGAGAGCCAACGTGAACTGAGCGAGTGAGTCCTCTGCCCAGCTGCTAGGCAACGCTGTCCCGACCGTGAAAACTTTCCTCCCCTCCTGATTCAAGTTTAAATAACGAAGCCGCCTCTGACGTGGGATGACGGCTTGTCCTGCCCCCCTGCACCCGGTCTGTGCAGAGTGGGAGGGGACGGAGCTGTCCGCGGGAGTCACAGTAATCCGCGTTTTGTTCAACACAGCAGGTATAAATGTGAGTTATACTGTGTATTGTGTGTGTGTGTGTGTGTGTGTGTGTGTGTGTGTGTGTGTGTGTGAGTCCGTGTGTCTCCTTTTGTTTCCTTTATTTTCCTTCTGCCTTCTTCTCTTGTTATTCATTCATTTTTTATATGGGTGATGAAAAGTTTTTCTAAATGAAATGGGGTGTTTTCTTTTTGCTCCCTGCTGATCACGGTGGAAAATGCAGGTCTGATTAACGTTGGATGGATCTACCTCAAGCAGCACTGTAAACATTTACATTTAACTATTTTCTATTAGAGTGCATGTTAGAAAATCTATCAATTAGCCTCCAGTCCTGATATTAGATATAGTTTATTAAGAAATGTATTTAATAGCCTAAACATTACTCCATGTGTGATCGCCTGAAATTTGCAGTTTGATGCGTTTGATGAGTCCATTAATTTGGAAGTAATAGGGTAAAGTTCTAGCTTGTAGTTAGTTCTAGTTAGCATGCTAATAGTCACTAATCAGCACTAAACACAAAGTACCGCTGAGGCTGATGGGAATGTCATTAGTTTTGCAAGTATTTAGCCATAAACCAAAGTACTGGATAAAATGAAATTTCGACCTGATGGTGGTTCTGGAGGAAGCGTCAGGGGATCCCTAATGGTATTAAAATTCATTCTGTGGAGAACATGAATGTGTGTACGCTACTAAATGTCATGGCAATCCATCCGACAGTTGTCAAGACATTTCACCAAAAAACACCCAACAGACCAACGTTGCCATCCAAATAGCCCCTAGCTACAAGCATGACTATGAAGAAATGAAAACATAGACAGGGGCTCACAAAATATTCCAGCCTTCAGGTCTTTGGAGGATTATCTGGGCATCCACTAAAAACTAAGGCCAGTCAATAACTCACTGATCAGAGTCTTAAGCAAAAGGCCAACATCTTCTGGACACTTCACTGGCAGAAAAGACCTCTCCCATTTGTCAGGGGATATCCTCGTATCCTCCTTGCCCCACTTCTCGATTCTTTAAGTTTCCCAGCCAATTACCGAGAGCATACAGGTTTTTTAGAGGGGATGATCTCATAGACATTCCTGTGAATCTGTCTTTCAGACAACTGCAGGCATGTGGTGCTCTGTCTGAAGATCTGACTCAGTGCGAGTCAGACACTTACCCATCCCAGTTACTGTCTCAAACAGTGGCGCTGATGTCAAACCCACTGGATCTAAACATCAGGTATCCTCGCGTCCCTGAGTGACACTGTTCTCGGCATCTCTTGTGAACTTTGCACAATGAGCTGCTGTGACGAAACAACTGAAAAGTGATGCGCACAGCGATGATCCAGGCTGTGAGATTGTTTGAACAAAAGAAAACAAACAAGAGAGAGAATATGGGTCAGATGATGCCCCTCAAAAGTCACTGAGTGTATCAATTCAGTGTACACAAACCTACAAAACTCCTCTCAGGACTTTGGATTCAGACAAACGCAAATAAGCCGACACATAATCTGTCACATGCTGACACATGTTAGACATGCTGGTGGAAAATAATAATTAATTAATTTCCTATCTCCCAATAATCCCACATTTTCACAACAAAAGTTTAGGAAGATCTTAAAAAAAACAACAAAAAGAAAAAACATGTCCATGCAGTAATTTGTACAGACAAAGCTAATCTTATTTCACCACGTGTCATCAAGCAGTATGTACAGACTGCCCCTGTACTTGTTACCACGGGTACATCAAAGGATGACTAACCAAAGACCAAGAAAGGATGAGAGGGCTGAAGTCTGCGCTGGAGATTTGTTGAGCAGATGGACGGGCTGACATTTCGGATATGTATCTTCTTCAAAGCCTGTTGCCAATAAATCTGAGTCAAACTACAGAGAGCTCCCATCTCTCTGTTCTTTTTCCCCCGGATGGTCATCATTCGACATACCTTTGGCAGCATCTAAGTCCTTTTAAATGCCCACAAATCTGTCTGATTTTTGCCTCTGCCTTGCGTAGACAAGGAGAACCTGAGGGAAGCAGGTAAGACAAGCGGTGCTGTAATCATGAGCTGTCTACCTCCATCTGGATTATCTCTGCTGTCTGGGAGAATGATCTCATCTAAGCACAAAGGCTTCTTCACTGGTAGTAAATAGAGTCTGATGGTTATTAATGTTGTCAAACAAGTAAACCCTGTAATCTCCAATACATTTATTCTCATGAAATGAGTAAGAATTTAACTGACAGAAATGTATTGTTAATAGAAAGAGTTTTTCCTAACTGGTGCACGCACATTACCAAATTTGATAGTTCAGGACTGATACAGTGGGTGCAGAAATTTATGACAGTAGGAAAAACCTAGAAACTTTTCAAGACAAAAGTCAGGGTCAGAATGACTAAAAGCAAAATTAATGCTGACAGCAGCACTAAGCAATATTTTAATATTAACAGTGGATTAGTTTACTACGTGTAAGGTGAAAGGAGTTGCCATAATAACAAACCCAGATAATTATCAGTCCACTGCAGCTCTATAGAGCTTTTTTAGCCTCTTTCAGCTCATTGTTTTGGTTTCAAGGACAACGTCTTCACCGTTTGGTTCATTCTAACAGCTCTCATCAAGCCTGTTTCCACTGAAAAACCCCTGATAAACCCACTGCACACCACCTGTACAGCACCAAACCACAGACACAGTTAGCGTCTAGCTGGTGAACACACAACATTAATTATAATATAATGCTGCTACATGTCTGACAGATATGTGTAAAAGGGCAAGTGGTTGCTAACGCATTCCCCTCAGTTAGCGAATACTATCTCAGAGTTGGGAACAGCTTTTTGCAATGCACTCACATGGCCAAAAAATCAATTCATGCAGGTTTAAGTTCATTTGTAATCAAAAGCCCACATTTATCATTGTATTACCAGAATTCTTTTTAGCATCACCACCACTGTTTTCACTGAGGTCCAGGAGTCTGCTGCAGAAAAATCTAGCAGCCGATGCAGCGCCTGCCTGCTAGCATCTTTGCTGCACTGACAGAAAAACACAGGTTCTTTACTCGGTTTCCCCGCTCACACAACAGTTGGTATAGCTTTATGTCCCCTGCGTTGAACATGGTTAATTCTTCGGCATGACACAGGCGGGAAACAATGGTGCCATTTACCAGTGCTGTGCCTGGAGCGCCCTATGGGGGAGCAAATAGTTGCAGGGAAATGATGAAGCTTAATTTATGTGGTTGCAATATTGCTGAGTCAGAAATGAAAAACAGATGATTTCATAGCATAAGACCGCCACAGCCCCAAAGCTATCTCATAAGAATGCTGCAGACGTACACATAAACCATCAGCAAGTTGATGTGATTACAAATAACTGACGGGGAAAGGATGATACCGGAGGAAATACTAATCTTTATCTGAAGAGCATGTGTCCCCTTCTCTCTTTTCTCACAAAGCCAGACTTATCTGCTCAGCATTAGCCAGTCAAGCTGCTAAGTTGTGATCAGTTTCATGTGTGTTAGTGTATAAGTATGAAGTACTGTGGCTGAAAAAAGCCTCAGTAAATGTCAGAATGGAGGCAAGAATAAATGTAGTCAAATTTATTCATCTCACATATCAGTCATTTTCAGACCAAAGTAATTGCTTCATAAATCAGTGTGGTTATAGTTTGCCAACCTGGTGAGAAGACTGCTGAAAGAATAACAATCAACCTTTACACAGCTATCCATCTTCGGACATGTAACTGAACGACTGTTTCCTGGCCACACATGCACACACGCACACACACACACACACACACACACACACGCACTGACCAGATGCTAGCAATGAATATTTAATGTGGTGCTGCAGCCTTACTGTTGTTGGAATAACAAACAGATGTGAATGGATCTTCATGTGCAGTCCATTAATATGAGAAACAATCGAAGTAATATAAAATATTCTCTCACTGTTAGGACAGTGTGCTGACATGGAAACAAAAGAGATTAAGTGCGTAATTAACCCATAAGTTAAATGATTAATTTTTTTTCATTGTTTTTTATGAAATATTATTAATATACTATACATTTTGATGCCTGAATCTAACTGCACATAAAGAAGCATGAGTAGGTGGGACTTGCTATTATGTAGTTTTTTGCAAAGGAACACATCTCATCAGGGGCCCAGCATTTCCTTTTGGAGATGTGGCAGACCTGTTTATACTATACATATATATATATATATATATATACAATGAGTGCAATCACAGACTGTGCTTAACTTCCTTGTAAAAGAAATAAAGTAGGACATTAGAAAATGAGTGCAGTTTAGTACAATTAAGTGTACAGGGCTGGATTGTGACCTGGAGGTGTAGGTGTCTTTGCAGCTTTTTGACCAGCGCTGTGCAAAAAGACATGTTACTGCATGTCCCCTCATTATATCCACAGTTGCTCTGAATAACAACGTCACTAGGCAGTGTTAGTTTCATAATCATATAGAGTAACAAACTTTGTAAAGTAATAATTCGCCCCACGTACCTGCCTAAATATGAGGTGCATTTTAGATAAAGTGTCTTGTATCTATTCAACAAGTTCTCCAACCTAAACGACCATTGTTTGCCCCTACCCATGGACACAACTTGTAGCAGTGTACCAGCAGTCAGAGTATTAGACCTTGGTTGTCATGGTAACAATAATGAACACGTGGTTAAGGTTGTGAAACGTCATGGTCTGGTTCGGTTTAGGCATAAAAACTACTTGGTTAGGTTTAGGAAAAGAACATGGTTTGGATTGCAAAAAGTATTTCCTTAAGGGTAGAGGACCTTCGTCGTCATGGTTACAACAATGTGTTAGGGGGTTGGGTTAAGGTTGTGGAACGGTCATG